TATTATTATTATTATTATTATTATTATTATTATTTTTTTTTTTTTTTTTTTTTTTTTTTTTTTTTTTTGAGACGGAGTGTGGCTCTGTCACCCAGGCTGGAGTGCAGTGGCCGGATCTCTGCTCACCGCAAGCTCCGCCTCCCGGGTTTACGCCATTCTCCTACCTCAGCCTCCGGAGTAGCTGGGACTACAGGCGCCCGCCACCTCGCCCGGCTAGGTTTTTGTACTTTTTAGTAGAGACGGGGTTTCACCGTGTTAGCCAGGATGGTCTCGATCTCCTGACCTCGTGATCCGCCCGTCTCGGCCTCCCAAAGTGCTGGGATTACAGGCTTGAGCCACCGCGCCCGGCTACAGTATTATTTTTTAAAAAGGAAGATGGACAGTGTGTTTTTTCTACTTGTGAAAATGAAATATGTATATACATATAAATATTTTTTAATTTCTGGAAAAGTATATGAAAAACTGGTTACTGGTTGGTTGTGGGAAAGGGAATCAGATGGCTGGAGGGCAGGGGAGTGAGGGAAGCCTATGGTTTCCTCTACACTCTTTAGTTTAAAAAATGGTGTGTACATGTATTACCTATTTTGATAAATAAATAATTCATTAAACATAACAGTATATACAGCTGTAATACATTCACTGAATCTCTTACCACTCCTGTCAGCACACAGTAGGCACTTAATAAGTGCTAGCCCCCTTTTGTTATTGGTCTCTCCAGAGCATGCATTAATGATTTGTGTTCACCCGACCATCACCCCTTTATGCTGAGCTTCATTAGTAAGGTACAATGTTTGCTAAATGACCGAGACCTGGGAGGGGAAGATGTTTCCAAGCTTTCACGGTGGAGAGGCTGAGGGTCTCTGTTGCCACAGGAGACAGGGAAAGGTCTTCCTGTGCCGGGGCTGAAGTAGCGGGTACAGATTACAAGGGGTGGTTAGGGTGGGGTAAGCGGACAGACCTGACCTGGGAGTGGTGGCATTTGACAGTCAGTGGGAGCGCAGAGCTGCCCAGGTGGCCACCGGCCTTACCCTGCCCTGTGCTGAGGAGAGTGGGAACTCTGTTCAGCCTCCCAGGACCATGGCTGGGGGCATGAACTCAGTGCCCAGGGGCTGTCTGGAGACCCCCCCCCTGGATTTAGGCAGCCCCAAGACCCAAGGGGCCGTCTTCTTCCTGGTCTCTAGAGAACTGTGGTCTTCTCATCTGGTGAGCTCCATATGGCACCAAGGGCCCTTTGTGAGTGGAGCTGTGATCCCTGGAAGGCACTGGGTGATGGGGAGGGAGTGGAGAGGAAGTGGTAGCCAGATAGCTCCGCATCCAGCAACCGTGGGTGTTGGCAGCCCATGCACGTTTTTCTTTTTTCTTTCCTTTTTTTTTTTCTTTTTTTTTTGAGACAGTCTCACTCTGTTGCCCAGGCTGGAGTGCAGTGGCGTGATCTCATCTCACTGCAACCTCTGCCTCCCAGGTTCAAGCAATTCTCCTGCCTCAGCCTCCTGCGTAGCTGGGATTACAGGCACCCGCCACCACACCAGGCTAATTTTGTATTTTTGGTAGAAACGGGGTTTCTCCATATTGGCCAGGCTGGTCTTGAGCTCCTGATCTCAGGTGATCCTCTCGCCTCAGCCTCCCAAAGTGCTGGGATTACAGCTGTGAGCCATCACGCCTGGCCAGTCCATTCACATTATTCAGGGGTGCACTACATGCTTGAGGTCTGGGGGCTCAGAATTTGGGGATACAATACAGCTTCGGCAGTTGTTATGTGAGGTGGCCCTGGGTCTTAAACCACCTATGTCCACTGTCGTCACTACTAAAGACATTGAATATTTACCACGTGGTGGGCGCTCCACAAGCATGATCCCACTGAACCCTCACAAAGACCCAGGACAGTGTTTAGAACAAAACAATTTTCTTCCCAGGGATGGAAACTGTGACTCAAAAACATTAAGTCTTCCTGGGGTCACAGAACTCACAAGTGGCCAGGCCAGCATCGGAAGCCAGCTCTGCCTGCCCGCCCAGGCCTGGACGCCCAGCCACGACCTGGCATCCCCTCTGCCCAGCTCCCATCTCGGCTCTCAGTAAGTGCCAGGAGCTGGTCTCCATGCCTTGAAGCCCCGCCCTTCTCCATGGCCTCTAGTTCCTACCACCCCACTGCCCCAAAGCTGTCTCACCTGCCTCTAGGCTCTGCACCTCCCTCCCAGTCCACTCAGCTTCCCAGGAGGTCCCCAAGTACCCCAGTGTCTGGGGACAGTGGTGGGCAAAGGGCCCCAGGGCCTCTCAGCTGGGTCCATGGCTGAGCGCGGTGGGGAGGCGGGCGCAGTGCACAGAGCTGATCCTAACCAAGTTTGCCAGCCCAGCTTTTCTCATGGCTCTCACACAATGGTCTGCTTTGTGCCCACCTGCCGATAATGCTTAATTAGGCGAGGAGGTGATTAATTTGAGGTAATTGACAGCTAATTAGAGGCCCACAGGCTCATTAACTTGACATCTTGTCTTCGTGAATTGGCTGAGTAGGGTCAGGTGATGGAAGCCGTTGCTTCTCCCTCCCCAGCTCTCAGCCCCTGTAGGCTGAGGCGATCACCTGGGGGAGGGCTGGGCCGACCCAGGAGTTCAGGTGGGGCAGTCCCAAGGCCAAGAGTAGAGGAAGCCAAGGTAGTGAGGGAGGAAGGGTCCGGATGGAGGTGTATGCCCTGACCTTAAGAGGGAGAGAGTGGGCAGGGAGTGAAGGCTTGTGGGCACTTCAGCAAAGACACCTAAGAGAGGTGGGGTATTTAACAGGGCCCGAGGGCAGGAGGGAGAGCTGGTGTCCATGAAAGGAGGAGGGGTGACGGGAATCGAGTGAGTGGAGCAGCCTGTTGGAACTAAGCATAGGATGTGGGGTGACAGACCTGGGACTGGATCCTAACTCTGCTACTAACCAGCTGGGTGACTGTGAACCAGTGAGTTAATTGCTAAACCTCAGGCTTCTCCTCTGTAGAATGGGAATAATAATGGTACCTGCCACCGGAGGTTGTTGTGAAGAGTCCATGAAACACTGAGGTAAAGGACAAATCTGTGAATTGAATGAGCAGGGTCAGGCCGAGTAGGATTCGTACCCAAGGGTCTGATGAGTGCCCAGTCAAATGTTAACTAGTCCATTAAAATTGTTTTAAGTAAAAAGTTAACTATTCTTGGTGGCAGGAAGGAGTGACATGAAGAGAGAGTGAGTGGGTAGAATGGGTGCCAGGGCTGTGGGGAGTAAATGGCAACCCCCTCCCAAGATAAGCCACCGTTACCCTGCAGGACACCTGCAGGCCTGATCACAGTAGCCTGGTGGAAGGTGTGGGGAAAAGACCTTCTTATTGTTACCATCTCTTTTGGGCACGGGGCATGCAATTCAGCAATAGATATTAAAGTTTAAAATGCACACGGTCTTTGATCCAGCAATTCCCCCAATAGTGATATATCCACAGATACCTAAACTCAAGGATATTTGCTCATCACAACATAGTCTGTAGTAGCAGAAGACAGGAAATGACCTGAATGTCCATCACAGGACCTGGCTAGGTAACCGAAGGCACATCCACACAGTGGAACAGCATGTAGCTGTTACAGCTCTAGGTACCAATATGAACAAGATCTAAGATAAATAGAAAAAAAAAAAAAAGCAAGCTGCAGAATAGGTATAGTTTCCATAAGCTGTTAACTAGTGGTCTGAAGGTTATGGGATGGCAAGGAGATGTCTTTTTTCATAATCTGTTCATTTTAAATATAGTTTGTATTTACTACCTTTTCAAAAAGTATTTAAAAAGTCATACAAGTTTTTTTTTTTTTCTTTTTTTTCCCAAATGAAATCTAACTTGAAATCTGAATTTATAGGCGAAGTGCCTCTGGTTGAACTGGGAGTGGAGGCCCAGTCCTACCCACCTATTTCCTTCCTCCCCTCCCCTACAGGCTCCAAGAGGATCATCTGGAATCCATCATTGTCCATTGGAACTTTCTATGATGATGGAAATGTATGCAGTTCTACACTGTCGAATAGAGTGGTAGTCAGTAGCCATAAGTGGCTACTGAGCACTTAAAATGTGCCTAGCGCGACTAAGAAACTGATTTTATTTTATTTTATTTTATTTTATTTTATTTTATTTTATTTTATTTTTTTCACTCTGTCCCCAGGCTGGAGTGCAGTGGCACCATCTCGGCTCACTGCAACTTCTGCCTCCTGGGTTAGGTGATTCTCATGCCTCAGCCTCCCGAGTAACTGGGATTACAGGTGTGCACCACAACGCCCTTCTATTTTTATTTTTTAAAATTTTCAGTAGAGACATGGTTTCGCTATGTTGGCCAGGCTGGTCTCAAACTCCTGACCTCAAATGATCCACCTGTCTCAGCTTCCCAGAGTGCTGGGATTATAGGAGTGAGCCATTGCACCTGGCCAGAAACAGAATTTTTAATTTTATTTTCTTTTAATTTAGATTTAATAGCTACATGTGGCTAGTGGCTACCAATTGGGTAGCACAGAAATTTTTTCAAGGTACCAAACAATTCAGCTGACCCTGGCCTCCATCTAAGGGAATACCAAACCCAGTGACTGTCACCAGCACCACTGATAACTCCAGAGTTTCCTGCAGTGTAAACACAGGCTCTTTGCTATAGAAAGAACTGAAGATTCCTTCCTTCCTTCCTTCCTTCCTTCCTTCCTTCCTTCCTTCCTTCCTTCCTTCCTTCCTTCCTTCCTTCCTTCCTTCCATCCTTCCCTCCCTCCCTCCCTCCCTCCCTCCTTCCCTCCTTCCTTCCTTCCTTCCTTCTTTCCTTCCTTCCTTCCTTCCTTCCTTCCTTCCTTCCTTCCTTCCTTCCTTCCTTCCTTTCTCTCTCTCTCTCTCTTTCTCTCTTTCTTTCTTTCTTTTAAATGTATACTTTAATAAGTATAGAGCGTATAAACAATTAGGTAAGCTTGTGGAGAAGCTGACCAAGATACATAAATTAGGAAATACAAGTGTCCATCTACATTTTCTATATGTCATTTTTTCATAGTATTTATTAAAGATGTTTAATATACAGTTTCTCATCTGTCATTTTGGAAGTCCTTTATTGTAAAGATAATTCTATTTCTGATGACAAACAGCAGCCACCATGGTTATTCAGCACCTCCACGTTGGATAAATTCAATTTCTTCTTGAGATACAAGTTTCCTTCTGTATTTCTGAGGTAATGTTTTTATTATTTCTGCAGTATCTGGTGGACCCTGATACATCAGCAAATTTGGTGATTTACTTCCCTCAGAGTGTTGTGAAATTACAGAAGAGTGAGGTGGTAGCACTGCTGATCTCAAAGCTTCTGATACATTGGGTTTAGTATTGTCTCTTCTGTCAGGAAATCTTATTAATGGAGTGTGTGGTTTGACTACCTGAACGACCCTAGTGGCAGACGCCATCTTGCTGCCCATCACGACCCCCGAAAAGAGGCAGTTTCCCGGGCACAAGTGAGCTGCAGGGATCACCCTGGGGGCGCACTTCCCGGGATGTCACCTCTTTTCTTTCTTTCTTTTTCTTTTATTTCTTTCTTTTCTTTCTTTTTTTTCCTTCTTTCTTTTCTTTCTCTCTTTCTTTCTTCTTTTTCTCTCATTTCCTTCCTTCCTTCCTCTCTCTTCTCTTTCTTTCTTTTCTTTCTTTCTTTCTTTCTTTCTTTCTTTCTTTCTCCTTCCTTCCTCTCTCTTTCTCTCTCTTCTTTCTTCTTTTCTTTCTTTTCTTTCTTTTCTTTCTTTCTTTCTTTCTTTCTTTTTCTTTCTTTCTTGTTTCTCTTTCTTTCTTTCTCTCTTTCTCTTCTTCTCTTCTCCCCTCTCCCCTCTCCCTCTCCCTCTCCCTCTCCCTCTCCTCTCCTCTCCCTCTCCTCTCCCTCTCCTCTCTCCTCTCCTCTCTCTCTCTCTCCTCTCCTCTCCTCTCCTCTCCTCTCTCCTCTCCTCTCCTCTCCTCTCCCTCTCCTCTCCTCTCCTCTCCTCTCCTCTCCTCTCCTCTCCTCTCTCTCTCTTTTTCAGACAGTGTTTTGCTCTTGTTGCCCAGGCCAGAATGCAATGGTGCGATCTCAGCTCAGTGCAACCTCCGCCTCCCGGATTCAAGCGATTCTCCTGCCTCAGCCTCCCGAGTAGCTGGGATTACGGGCACACGCCACCATGTCTGGCTAATTTTGAATTTTTAGTAGAGATAGGGTTTCTTCATGTTGGTCAGGTTGGTCTCGAACTCCCGACCGCAGGTAATCCACCCACCTCAGTCTCCCAAAGTGCTGGGATTACAGGCGTGAGCCGCCACGCCCAGCCTGAAGATCATTTCTAACAGAATTAGAATTGCACTGATAGGAAGCATGTCAGAGACACTGGTTGCCCTCTTGGAATCCCAGTTATTTTAGGAAGGAGCACGTGAATGATCCATGAGTGAAAAAACATATCTTTGGCTTTGAGATCAGTGGCCAGTTCCACCTGGGAAGAATTTAAGTGATGAGTTAGGTCACTGGAGGCATCCATTTGGCAACTGTGCAATGAGCCTCTACGATAGGTCAGGCTCTGGAGAAACAGAAACACACATCTGGTCCTCGCTCCTGAGGAGCCCGCAGTCTGGGGACTGATTTCTCAGTAAAGGGTGGATAGACAACGGTGCTCCCTCGAAGGAGAGCCCAAGGGTGCAGCAAGGGGCTTGGAGTTTGGCTGACAGCCCTCCCCCGCATTGAGGTCATGGAGAGTGAGGGCACAGGACAGGGCCCTCCAGTCCTTATGCTCAGCCGCTGGTGGAGCATGAGTGGCAGCTGCCAAAGGGACATGTTGACCATCTTCTGTCCTTCTTTCTGACTTCATAGCTTTGAACCCAGGGTGAGTCTGGGATCCTCTGGATTCCCCTATGCTATTGCCCCAAATAGCTTTCATGGCGTGGTTTGAAACATAAAAACCAACAGCTTTCATCAGCGCTTCCCTTTAGAGGCTCAGAGAACCTTAACTTCTTTTGAGGCACAGCTTACATAAAGTGTGCAGCTATTAACTACACAGCTCGATGAATGTTTATACACATACCCTTCTGTGTTAACCACCACTCAGATCAGGAGAGATAGTATTTTCAAAACCCCAGAAGGCTCCCTGGGCCCCTTTCCAGTTAATACCTCCAAGGTAACTACTATTTAGACTTCTATCACCTAGATTAGTTCTGCCTGTCCTAGAATTTCATACAGATGGAGTCATACGGTATGTGCCCTTCATTCGTGTTTGGGAGATTCATCCATATTACTGTGTGAAGCAGCATGGTAGTTCGTTCACTCTTTATTGCCAATTGGCATTCCACATAGAATATACAATCTATCCATTCTGCTGCTGATGGCCTTTGTTCCCCAGTTTTTTACTTGCATGAATGAAGTTGCTATTATTTTCGCATGTATCTTTTGGTGTCAACTCATTTTTGTTGGGTATAAGTGGAATAGGCATAGGCATATTCTTTGAATTCTTTTTTTTTTTTTTTTTTTTTGAGACAGTCTCATTCTGTTACCCAGGCTGGAGTGCAGTGGCACAATCATGACTTTCTGCAGCCTCAAACTCCTGGACTCAAGTGGTTCTCCTGCCTCTGCCTCCCAAGTAGCTGGGACTACAGGTGTGCACCACCATGCCTGGCTAATTTAATTTTGGAGAGATGAGGTCTCACTATGTTGCCTTGAACTCCTGGCCCCAAGTGATCCTCCTGCCTCAACTTCCCAAGGTAATGGGATTACAGGTGTGAGCCACCATGCTTGCCACTCCCTGTCCTTTTTTTTTTTTTTTTTTTGACAGGGTCTCACTCTGTGGCCCAGGCTGGCATGCAATGCTGTGATCATAGCTCACTGCAGCCTTGAACTCCTGGGCTCAAGCCATCCTTCCAGTGCTGCCTCCTGAGCAGCTGGGACTACAGGGATGTGCCACTGCACTGGCTAATTTTATTTAAGAAACATTTTTTTTTGTGGTAGAGATGGGATCTCACTATGTTGCCCAGGCTAGTCTCTGGCTCCTGGACTCAAGTAATCCTCCTGCCTCAGCCTCCCAACGTGCCGGGATTACTGGTGTGAACCACCGCAGCGGGGACACTTGGTCCTTTCGACAACCTAGTGAAGTAGTTATTTTCCCCCTTTAATGGAAGAGGAAACTAAGTTCAATAAGGCTAAGAATCTTATCCAAGGCCACACCCCAAAGCTATTAAGTAGCAGAACCCGTATTCAAACTAGAATGATCAACTGTCACATGGTCAAGACTGTTCCTCCTCCCAGGAAACCCCTGAGTTCCAAGCAAATCAGACGGTTAGTCACCCTAATTCAAACCTGACTGGATTCAAAAGTGGAGCTTTTTTTTTTCTTTGAAATGGAGTCTCGCTCCACCCAGGCTGGAGTGCAGTGGTAGGATCTCAGCTCACTGCAAGCTCCACCTCCCGGGTTCACGCCATTCTCCTGCCTCAGCCTCCCGAGTAGCTGGGACTACAGGCGCCCGCCACCACGCCTGGCTAATTTCTTGTATTTTTCGTAGAAACGGGGTTTCACCCTGTCAGCCAGGATGGTCTCGGTCTCCTGACCTCGTGATCCACCTGCCTCAGTCTCCCGAAGTGCTGGGATTACAGGCGTGAGCCACCGCGCCTGGCCCCAAAAGTGAGCTCTTAATCATCAGGCTGGGATTTCCCCTGGCCTAACATTTCACCAGACAGCACGTGGTGTTAGCACAGACTCAAGGCAGAATATTTTGTCTTCAAAACACTCATGTGATATCAGGATTTTACTTGTTTTTCTTTTATTTTGAAGAAAGCGATTTCATTTAAAGTAGATCTGAGTTGGGTAAGAATAAAATTATTTATATGAAAAGAATTTTCTAACACATTAATCCATCAAACAAGGATTTATTCAGCACCCATGAGCTGAAAAGAAGTTTAAGGCAGTCCTTGACTTCAAGAAATTAATCATTTACTTAGGGAGCTAAGAGGAAAGCTTAAGGAATAAAATTAGAGGATAATAAACAGTAATAATAATCACTCCATATGTGAGTACTTACTGTGCCCAAGGGGCTTTACAGAGTCTAATTTAATCTTCACAACACAGCTGTGAGATATGTTCTGCTGTTATGCTCATTTCAGATGAGGAAACCAAGACTTGGTGAAGTGATTTGGTCAAGAAAAAAAGTCATTGAGCTGTTCACTTAAGATTTGTAGATTTAATATAAATGAGTTATGCCTCCGATAAACCTTTATTGAATGGGAAACCCTTGAAAATACAGACATTTTTTCCTTTCTCTACTCTTGAATATCCTATCCCCAATAATTTAGTGTAAAATTTTAAATATGTATTTTGGCTTGTTTCATTTTAGGAAAATAGCAGTTCAGGTCAAAATGGCGGTTTTAGCCTTAATGGCTTGGGTGCAAATAGGCACAGCTTGTGACTGTGAAATCAGAGGTCCTGGCTTGCAGCGGGGTTCCGGGGCTGACACAGGCCAATGGGCCAGTGCAACCTGCTTGGTACCCCGGCTGCACAAACTGTTGGCCTCATGGTCAGTCCTGACCAGAAATGCACAGGGTATTTGTCCCCTGGGTCCTCAAGGTCAGCTCCTCCGTCTCCCTCCAACACACCCCAAACCTTATCGCATCCCTCAACCTTCTGACCCTGCCACCCATCTCTGCTTTTCAGGTTTGCAGGCCCCCACCCAGAGGCACCTTCATCATTCCTCCCTGACATGTCAACTTTCATTTTCCTAGGACGAGTCTCATTTGACAGTCTCCTGCCCATATTTCTAAGCTCTCTGGGTCTCGGTGTGCTATTTCTCTGTCCTCTCTGGGGGTTGTAACACCAATCATCTGCAGGTTTCATTAGCATGCTGTTTACCCCTGTCTTTCAGATCATTAATGAAGATGTGAAGTGAGACACCAATCCTCACGGCCCCCACCACGTGCCCCCTCCCATGCCCGGCGCTGCTGGAGTCATTATCCTTCCTGGTGTGACAGGGTCAGAACCAAACCAATTTGCATCAATCTTTGGTGATGCTGTGAAGTGTTGCCTGCCCTGCAATGCTGCTGCCGTAACAACTGCTTCAGCCATCTGGTCTGGAGTGCTCTTCTCTCCTTCAGAAGGCTCATCAGATCTGGCCACCCCAGTTCTGGCTGAAAGCCCCAGAGCGACTGCAACAGTCAGGCAGGATTCAGGGCTACACATGGCTGACATTGTTCCTTCTTCGTTTCGCTCTCCTGAGCTGGGCAGAAAGCAGTCCCTCTTTGGCAAACAGGATGGACAAGTGCATGCACTAGTGGAGGAGGCAGCAGATGTGGCAGGCATGGAATTTTACTCATTGCTGAATCTATTTCTATCAAGGAAAATGGGGAGTGTTCCCCATTCCCTCCCATTTTCTAGCCCAGGCCTAGTCAGATGTGTGGGCTTGTATATTCTGGGTACTTGGGGCTGATGTTGTCAAGTCACTTCTTGGGGACAAGGTCAATTCTTCTCCACTATTTTCTCATGTCATTTAGTCCCTGAGGCTTTTATATCTTCTTTAGCAATTCCATGACTATGCGTCTCATCCTGCAGGGAGACTGA